AGGAAAATCTCTTGCGACCAGAAATTTTATTTAAAAACTATAGCAAACGAAAGGTCGTGAACCAAATTCTTACCAGAATGGGCTAAAGTCCGCAAAAAATCACCGTATAATTTCAGTATAGTTAAAGATTGAAAATGGAAAGCAGATAACTTTGGTAAAAGACTCACAGGGAGCACTTTTTTCCGCGATGGTCTAAAAGCCCGAAAAACTCACTAACTTCAATATAGTTAGACTCAAAATGAAGAACAACGAACTTTGGTAAAACTTTCTATTTTTCGGTTTTAAAGTTTAACTTTCAGATAAAATTTTTTTCTATAGATTTGGATGAAAAATACGAGGTGAAAAGATGCAATTATTCTGCGTTAGTTTGTCAATTTTTAGTTGAAAAGCTTTGTTCAGTTTGTAAATTTATTTACTAAACGTCATTTAATATATGAAATTGTGAAAAAACAAGCCACATACACATCAACTTTCTTATTTACTTAATTTTGTTGATGGTTTTTTGTTTAACTTAATTTTTCAAATGCGTATTTGGATTTAATCTGTTGAAAAGTTTATTTTTGCATTTTGCTTTTTATTGTTTTACATTACAATTTGAAAAAAAGTTTGAAGCAATTTTATCTTGCGTCAGATAAATAACGAAATAAACGACACTTTATGTACGAAATTATAAAAAAACCTACAGATTCAAAAGATTCAGTTCAGATTCTAAACAATTGATGTAGAATTTAAATTATCTCAGTTTTAGGCAAAGCATATGAGAGTTTTTTGCACTTTTTTAAGAGTACAATTATGACATTGTTAAATATTTGTTTTTGAATTTAGTTCTTCAAATGCGTTGTTTGATTTGGTCTGGCAAAAAGACGGATCGGTGGCCTTCCGGGCAAATAACGGCCGTTACATCATTACAAAGCGAAGTGGCCATCTATTTGCCAACAGCGACGTAATAGACGACACCTGCAAGTACTTCTTCTACTTGGTGAATAGACCGATTTTGGTGCTCAAGTGCGAGCAGGGCTTTGTTGGATACAAGGCAGCAGGAAATCCGAAGTTGGAGTGCAATAAAGTCACTTACGAAACCATCAAAGTGGAAAGAGGCGAAAAAGGACTAGTGTACTTTAAAGGTAAGGTTTTGGAGGCTGAACTAAATTGTAATAATCAGTTAAACAATCAAAAAGTTTTGCTGTTTTTGTCAAGGTTTCATTATCTTATGCATGGAATATTTTTCTTGCAGGTCAAAATGGTAAATATTGGCACAGTGACAGCGAATCTGTAACCGAAGATTCAGATACACCAGAAGGCTTCTATTTGGAGCTACGCGAACCAACACGTCTTTGCATTAAAGACAGTGCCGGTCACTATTTAACCGCCAGCAAGAATGGATGCTTTAGATTGGGCGATACTTCGATAGAAAATGCCACCCAATGGGAATATTAAAATTGCCAATTTAACACCTGAAGATTGGTCGAAGTCTGATTTGTGCATTCATTTTGTAACTTTGCTGGTGGACTTTTATGTCCTTATTTAAAGGCTGTTACATTTTATATCTTGGTAGATGTCGTAACTGTTCAAGTAGCGTTCGCAATTTATTACATGCTATTCCTATGGCTTTTGTTAAACATATTGCCAATATTTATTACACTTTTTTTCAGTATCATATTCATTATTTATTTGGCCATTTTTAGCAGTTTTAGATTCTTTAAACCAAAGTGGGTTTATTATTTCGACACTTCCAAAGTCACTTTTCTCATATTGATTTCTAATCGTCTCATTCCCCACATAAATATTTATTTGTTATTATATTATCGTTGATTAAGTTGCAAGTTTCCTATTTAGGTTTTAATACTGTGTCGTTTTGTGATTTCTCGTACTAAACTACCGCAAAGCCAAACATTCGATAAACTGCCAAAAAACCTGGCCTTACTGTACTTACATTTTGATACAACAAATATTTTAAAATTAGCGTTTTTTCAAAACTCAAGCGGTTACTTACTGTATTAAATGGTGTTTAACCCGAATCCTTAATGTCCTGAGGTTTAGTATTAATATTAAGGTGCATGTATATAATAAGATAGTTGCAAGTTGACTATCAACTGAAAGTTACGTTCTAATATTTTATTTATATTATCCAGTGGTGGTTGAAAAGTACGTGCATTACTTATACCTAGTTAAATATCGGTGGCGTATTTCCAGTTTTGTTCACTTGGAATTTATCCCCAAAGAGCTATGGTTTTATTGATTAGGGTCGAATGTATAAAACCGACATTTCCTTGTTTGCACTCTTAAATATTTATTGGGTTCAATCAATCATTTAAAACACGTAATATTTTAGTGTTTTAGTTCCTTACTAAATTTCAGTTTTATAATTTTTGCTTTCTGTTGATACAATAGGCCACTGTTTAATGCAATAGAAATTATGTATAATTATATCGCGTCAAAAGTAGCCCGTCTTTACATATAAAAGATGTGTTGCTTTTGATACACCTTGTACAATCATACGTTACAACCGGATACTGTGCATTTATTGTAAGAATTATACGCTCAAGATTGTATACCTTTTTTACGTATCGCTTAAATAAAAGGTATTTTCCGAGCGCAATATTTATAATATTTAGCGTATTTTTTATAGCTTTTTCATAATAAGGCATTTTTGCGTGGGTATGTTATATAAGCGTCCTTTTTGTATGATAAATATGTAGTGAGTTATAATTAAATATATAGTTAGAGAGTATGTGAGATTGTGGTTTCAACTAAATTTCCATCATGCTCCCTAGACCCAAGTAAGGCGATATTTTTTTGGCAAAAGCAAATTGTCCAGTCTCCTCACCCTCAGTCTTCAGATTCTGATCAAACGAGAGTAAAGTTATTATTTTGTTTCGCCATTGTGATACTTAACTTCCCGATGCCTGTTTAATTTGTTCGTTTATTTTATTATATCAAGGTGTAGTTATTGAGGATTGTATTCAATTCTGTTTGGATCAATAATTGAGAGCAAGGTGCCCATTTTAATGCAATTGGGTCAAATTAGCTGTCTATATATAGAATCCGAAATAATGATGCATTTAAAAATTAATAGCTTGCTTGCTAAGTGGTGAAAACGCCTGCATAGCGGTTAAGATGCAATTGGAATAAATGCCTAAATATTAGCTAAAAGTGGACATTTTTTATTCAGGTAGCGACTGAAAATATTGCTTTCTCCAAAGGAGAGGAAAAGTATTTTAAAACTTAATTCAAGTTGAACCGAATTGTTTGTTGCAATTGTCGACAAAGTTTTTACTGGAAAAACTTAACAGTGATTATCCGATTCATGTTAATAACATGCTATTATTTGTCATGTTATTTTTGTTAATATTTGGGTCAGAAAAAAAAATTTCATGTTACCATTCTAAAATAAACACACAAATAAACGATTTTTTTATTATGCTTTGCAATTTATATTTGGTGTTGTTTTACAAGCTTACAAATTAAAGCCAATAACGCCACATGTTTTTTGAATTACAAACAACATTTGTATCGAATACTGTCGAAATTTCGAAATGTCGATGTCGAAAATGGGAATTAAATTGAACGTAATTGCAGAAAATTTTAATTAATGTATACATTTTTGAAAAAGATATTCAAACACTCGAAACGTTATTTAAAAAAAAACCTTAACTGAATCAAAAAATTTTCCCTTTATTTAGGAGCGAGTTTTCCCGAAAATCGAAAACACTATCTGAACATTGGCTGATTAAAAAAAACTTACTTTAGGTAAGTAAACAGAAAACTTTTAATATTAACCTAAAATGGTAAGTAAATATAAGTTTTCGTAAATAATTAGAACTTTTTTTAAGCCCGGTAAGTACATTTCTGATTTGTTGGTTCATTTTCATCTCTCAGTTTCAAGCACAAAATATTTCTGTGGTTTTTATAATATTTGCAACTTTCCAGTTGTTGATGCAAATTTGATTAAAGTAAGGCAAGTTTAGGAATATCTGACCAAAGTACTACTGGAAATATGGCAATCACCAAGAGTTTCTCAGTAGATGTTTATTCTAAATTTTTTAAATATTATTTCTAAAAATTATTTATGATTTTTTAAACATATGAAGAATACTGATTCGTTCTAAACTACTGATTTGTTGCAAAAGTAAAAAACGTTGTCGATTTAATTCCTATAACTAACACTTGATTTTGCACTCAAAAAGCTGAACTTTTTTTACCTGTATTGAACACGTAAGTTTTATCCGGTTTTTGTTCAGGTCCAATGAATCATCAACTTTTGGTTGGAAAATTCGTTCTGTAGTGAAAACGAATGTTGTCAGTTATTAGGATTTATGGCAAATATTTGAGATTCCTTTAGTAGAAATATGAAACTCAGTCAATTTTTCTGATTTGAATAAGCTACGTTTTGAAATCTTGGAAAATTTCCAGGTTTTTCTGCAAAAAGTGATCTGATTTGTCAATTTAATGCAACTTATTGTATCTTAAATATAAAAATGCATGTCCAGTCTGACAATTTATTGTAGTTAGAGTTACTGACATCAGTATTTTAAATAATCCCAGATGATTTATTTATTTTACTTGCTTGAATAAACAGTGAAAATTTGATGAAAGTTTGAATAAGCAGCAAAAAAACACTGTTTTTCTTGAAATGAAGAAAAGAGGTGAAAACTGGACGCGTCCATGTAAGCTCTCAACATCAGCTTTAAAAAACTAATTATCAACTACATGTTAAATGATAACTAAATAACAAAAAAAAGCAAAAAAATCGAAGCAACCACGATTAGAATTTTACAGGCGATTATTTAAAGCAAATGGCGCAATCCGATTTACTAAACCAAACTTGGCATTTTCTTAGTCATATTTCTCGTTGTAGGCTCTATATCTTAATCCCCTAATTTCTTGCTGGGGTTATTTTTCATTCCTCTTTCTAATCCGTACTGGCTGCCGTTCGCAGATCTTTTTCGCATTATATAAATTGAATCTCAACATTTTCTTTTATGCTCGATAAATTACGAGTCCGGCCAGTTACCAAGCTCCCATAATGTAGAAAAATAAAAACGAAAAGGAAAGAAGCGAGCCAGCACTTTAAGGTTTAAGCTAGTCGATTTAATTGGTTTAACCATCGAAAAAAGTGTTATGAGTACAATGAAACTAGATAATTTTTATTGGAGATCTATGCTAAAGTGTTTTTAAAAATCCTATAATTTTTGGATACTTTTGTTGGTGATTTGAAATGCCTTGCTTGCAGACTAAAAATTCCGTTTTTATACCGAGTTTTAATTTTCCGATTGGTGTGGCAAAATACAATTCAAAACACTTGCCATAATTTACAAAACAACAGCCACTTTCCTTTTCGTTTTAATACGATTCGTGTCAGTATCTCGAAAAATAAAATCCCACCCTGTTAAAACCCATGCGATGGGAAACATAAATCAATTACAAGAACTCTGCATATTTACTTGATATTACAAACAAGTTACTTCATTACTTTTTTCCGTTACGGAAATTTTATTAAAAGCAAAATGATGTTTTGCCCCTGCGGCGTTATAAAAAGAAATATTCCGTATATTTTTACTGACCTTTTTATTATCCGAATTTGGTTAAAAACAACTTAATATTCCAAGCTACGAACTGTTTAATGTCAATCAGAAAGCACAAAAAAGTGAGGAGCTCAGAAGAACTAAGTTTTTATCGGGATTAAAAGCACTTAATCAGGTCAACGACCAATATAGGCCAATGTTTAACTGATTTTTATTTGATAAAAGTAAAATTCAGCCTTTATTTTTTGCGATGTAATAAATAAAATTATTGAAAGGAAATACTCATTCATCAACAAATTCAGGGCATTGCAATTTGTTTCTCAATTAAAATTTTAAATTCCACAATTTTCTAAAAATTGAAATATTTCACATAGCCCTAAACCATATGCCTACAATGCAGTAAATTAAAATTTGCAATAGATCAATATGGACATATTAAATAATTGCTGTTCCCACCGTTATTTTGTTTGATTAATAATTTTCTATTTAGATCGTGAACCGTTTGCAACTCTTTCCAAATACCATTATTTTAAATATAAAAACGGTCTCAATTTGCAGGCAGATTTGGGATTTTTCCCCCCAAGTGCCAATGGAACACAATTAGTGTTTTTGATAGTTTTAGGTTTTTCAGATTTTATATACCGTGAATCGTGAAGAATCTGTGCGGTTTACCGATAATAATTTATTTTATACTTAATTGAGAGGATCGTTCGGTTAATTTGATGCAATACAATGAAAAATAATAAGGACGCAGTAGAAGCATTTCAAGGAAATACAAGTTTGAAGATTGCCAAAGAAAAATGAGAATCCCGAATAATGTTTCATATTAGATGCAACAACTTGATAAAGGTATAAAAATCACCACTTGACGGATTTAGAATTCACATTATGAACTGTTGAGGCAAAGTCGACGATTTGGTTATTAGCTATTAAAACTTTTTACTTAAAATGGGAGAAAGGCCCGACTGTCACCACCTGCGATTTAGATCCCTTATAAAAAAATCATCTGCAAAGTTCTGCGATGCAATAAAGGCACCCCCGCAGAGTATTTTAACACCTTTTGTGAGTTATCAGTCCTGGCACGTAGGCTGGACCCCTCAGGAGGGACTGAAATAAGGAAAACCCGATTCGTCGAGTTAGTGGCAGCTGAAAAGAAAAACCAGTTACGCCTTAACAATCGAACATAATTTCCACCTAATTGATTGCCGTTTTCCAAACACGAAAACTAAAAGCTAATGTAGCTGGGAAAGTTGGAAAATCAGCGAGAATCGCGACCATGTAACGAAGTCCGGTTTTATCTTTCTGGACGTAACTCTTACTTTTATAGCTACGGTCAATTTGTTCAAGTTCGGACTTTTGAGAAACTTGAGAAACATGTTGGTTGGCTGGAACAGGGCGGATATAAAAGGTGAAAAGTTATAAAGTTGAAGTAACTGAAAACTCACTTTACTCATCAACAATCAGCAAATACTGTCCAAACTAAACAACACAAAGTTATCGCTCTTATTCAACTGAGAACCCACTGCGATCCACTGACCGCACAAAAAGATATTTCCTTTGAAAAACATCCCTCGGATGGACTAATTGCGGTCGGGTGCCTAGGATATGATAAAGAAGCTACAACTTCCTAATATCCAAGAAGAAAACAGAAAACGGCAAACAAACAAGGCAACGGGATCCAATATGGCGCCGCAGGTGTCGGATTAACTCCACAGTAATTTATCTGGAAACTTCCAGTTTGTCAAAGAAACTTTACCTGCTTTCCGGATATTTATTATCTTGTTGGTTTAATCTATGAGAAGTGGAGTGCCTTAATGATATTTGGGACAATAGACTGGGCCATAAAACGGAAAGATTTTCCCATAGTCTGTTTAAGAAGTTTATACAATAGGCTTATGGATCAATGAAATTCTTTGTTACGTTTTTTATATCGATTTTCATTGTGTTGGTTTTCTGATGTGTTTTTGGTTTAACTGCATAAACAATTTTTATCGGATGTTTCCACCGTTTAAATTCGGGAATGCACAGAAAGCAAAGATTTATCTGAAATTTTACTAGACCATTAGAAAAATAATTCATATTGGTTGAAAATATGTTTTACTGAGTTGCCTTAATTTTAATTTGAAAATTACACAATCGAGCTCTTTTCCACGCTTATTTCCAGTCACGATCTTTGTAAGCTGACATTTCTGTAATTTCCCCTCTACACAGTGTACACCAATTTGAAGCATTTCCAGTTATTTATTTTCCGGTAATTTCTATAAATTTTTACATATTTCTGTCGTTCTACTCCCTTGAAACAAACGACAAAAATCTTGCTCTTAAGCGCTTAATCTTGCTTATGTACCCCAAATCATTCATATCACCATCAACTCGATATTGCTGACTCAAAATCAGTGATAAACGAATAAAAAGTGCTGATAATAAACGAGTGAAATCCCTTGTACCGGTTGTGTAAGCTGCATAAGGCACCACCAATCGCTTTTTTGCTCGTTAGAGACTCTTTTATCGACTAAATTAAGATAAAGTGGAAAAAGTGTCACGCACGATGCGGCAAGATATTAAGGAAAGTTTATCTCCCCAGGACTGCCTTTACTCTGAAAAAATACGACTGTGACATCGAGTTTACAAGGAAATTTTGGAACATTTTCAGGGTGGAAAGCAATCAGCGAGTGCCATAAACAAACAAACTTAAAATGGAAAATCACCATGCCGGTAAAGACAAGACTTTTTATGAGATTCTTTGAATTGTTTAATTTTTCTTTAGCCAGTTGCTTAATCTATTGATTTTCACCTGTTTAGCTAACTGCCAATTATTTTTCACCAACCTTCAGCCTGATTGCTTTCATTCAACAAATTAGGAAAACAGCATAGTTCTAAAAGAGATTTGAGGTCTAGTTACAATCACAAAATTGCCCGTGAATAAAACATATATTTTATAGGCCTTTCTCATATCCATTACCTTTTTATAGCAATATTAACGTGTAGATTAAGAGTGGCGTTTATGTTGAAGCTGCAATAAAAGCTATAAGAGCCTCGATGCCACGATAAGAGCTACTCCAAAGAATCTTCCCCGATGTGTTTATGTCGGAGCCAAAAGGCAGGGTTAATCTAATCAATGATTCCGAAGAAGTTCTTAATATTCTGTTCAAGTTCTTTGACATCACAGCTAGTGGATAAGCGTAAAAATTGTGCTCAACATATCAGCATAATTAGCAAACTTTTAGGAAAAACGCTAAATGATCTGAAGAAACGAAAAATTGGGTCAAAGAAAACATTGTTTCAACAAAAGTGTTACATAACTCCCCCACCATTCTATAATAAAATTCCGTCGCATAATTTTTTATTTTCTCTGTAATCATCTATTGTTTATTCCGTTGATTTTGACTTTGCTTCGAACAACACAAATTAAATACTCTCGTCCTCGGCCTTCAAGCTTTTCAGCTACAAGTTCAGGTTTCATAAGTTTTCTTTCCGTAGCTTTTTTTGCGCCAGATCAAAAGAAAATCCGTCGGAATCACTTTTCGTGTTTCAACCTAAAGTGGCGGCGAGAAAAAAACCATAGGCTTAAAAAATTCTGCCGATTCTCCTAACTTTTCGGATATTTTGAGTGGAATGGAAGCGTCCAAGTTTTGAAACAAATAAAATTATCTATTTCGGGTTTTTATCCAAAACTTTAGGACACTAAAGTTTCAGCTTCAAAAAAATCGAACTGCGCGACTTAATAAATGCCCCATAGGTTTAGAAAATATTAACTCTCCCATTTAGAATCTAGCTTTATTTAAACAGTCAATGAAGCAATTTGAATTTTTTTCAAGAAACTCGATCTAGTGCACATTTAGCAATTTCAGACGCTGCCCGTTTTATAACGAATGAGATTCATCAGTCATGTTGATTAAGCCTTTCGCACGTTCAGCCGTACAAATCCTTTAGAAATGGGACAAAGTTTTCTTAATTAAGTAAATCTGGTACCTGAAATGCAAAACTGAAACAGATAATTTAGGTGTAGTTTCCACAGGTAGGACAGCACGGCACATAAATAGGCTTCCTCGAAACAATCCATACAGGTTGTATAGATTCTACAAGAGCTCGATGCGCATGGTGTGCAATACAGACAAGGATACACTTGGGATTGTGCCGAAGTGCAAAAAGGATGGAAGTGGATGGTCTTGTGATGGGTCCACAAGTTTCAGTCGGGTTTCAAACGTGAGCGCAGTCAAGAGAATTCGAAAAGTTTTCACGGGGAATCTTACGCGACTTTTGGGCAATTTAGTGGACTTTTTCACAGTTGTGCACAATTTGTTGGATTTCGTCGACGTTTTTCTACAGCCGGAGGTTTGTTTGGAAAATTACATGCATGTAGAATTTTGTGGAAGTGAAAGCGGAAACTTTCGGCGGCACCCACTTGTGGAATATGATTACAAGTTTGCAAAGTTTTGTGGCTCTTCGATACTTTCAAAAAATTAAGCAGGTTTAACAAAGTTTTAAACTGTGTTTAAAGTATTATCAATTTCATCAGTTCAGATTTTTTTTCAATAAATTTCTTAACAGACTTTTTCTTTAACGGAATGTTTTATTTCTAGCTTTGCATCGTTTTTCAATTGATGTGGAGAAGAAATGTGAAACTTTTATATTAATTTTTACTGTGATTACTGACTGAAAAAATACAAGTTCGTCATATTTTAAAGAAAAGTTCGTCATATTTTGAACCAACTTTCAACTTGAACCAAATAACTGAAATATTAAGTTCAAACTGCAGTTCACAACTTCAGCTTAGCATTATTGAAGATAATTTAGGTTCATGACCAGAAACTTAACTTAATTTCCAAAATATTTCAATGCAAAACTTTAAATCGCTACAATAAAAACTTGCAATAAGCACCAAAAGTCAGGCCGAAAAACTGAATTAATTTGTCGTTTTGGAAAACTTTGAAGACACAATAATATTCATGAAAATTTATACAAAGTTTCTACCTATTGACTCCCAGCAAAGTCTCGTTTATTGAGGTCCAATTTTTATCAATTTCCTCTTCCTTAGAAAGTTGACCGTGGTATAATGGGGCTTCCAAATACCTTTTGGCTAAACTGTCCAATCAAAGCGATCTATTTTACAATGCATTTGGGAAATATTCGAGTAAATGCCACGTCCACTTGGTGTCAGTTCCCATTTCAGTTTCGTTCAAAATTGACCTGGGATGGCACAAATCACCGTAAATAAAATGGTGCTTCAGTCATAGATAAGTACATGACAATTTGATTTATAAACTATACCAAAATGGAAAATCGGGCTTTTATGGTTAGTAATTTACTCAAGTTATTTCATATAATTTGAGCTATGATTTATCGAATATGCGTTAACGTAAGGTTTCATTTACAAGAAACTGTAGATCGTACGCTATCAAATTATGACTAATTTCAATTCCCATTAATTGTTCTTTCTGCGATTAACTATGTGTTCGCTATGTTGTTTTACTTAAAATAATGTGATGCAGCATCAGTCTTTTACATAGTATGTTCGCGTTTTCAAGGGTTTTAAAATATTGGATTCAATAAAGAAATGTGAATCATATACGCTCAAATTATGCCGAATTTCCAAATACTTAAAATTGATTTCAGAAAATTTGGCCATTGATTCGCGTGTTTCTGTCTGGGTTATTTGCTGTTGTTTTTCGGTAATAAATAATTTTTTATTGTTGTGAATTTTTGTCTTTCAATTTTAATCGATAAAACTTTGGAATCTTGTTAATATTTATTTGTGTTAAATTCTTTATGTCCCCTAATTCTTATTGGAATAATTGGGAATAAATTAGCTTCGTGACAATTTTCCAAATGTTCGAAATTAATAGATTGCGTGGCACCTATTTAATAGCATGTTGTCCTTTGAAGGCAGAATGTGCCTTCAATAAACTTCAGTTCTTAGAGAAAGAATTTTACATAAACAGATGATTGGAATTGATATATCTTTGAATACTTTTTTGCCGATTTTCGCCTTAAAAAAGCCGTTTTAATTCCTCTGAGTCAGTGACTTGATTGTAAAACCGCACTTACACACAGAAAAATAGTTTAAAAATTATACAATAAACAACTTTTCGAAATTGCAAATGTATAGCAATAACAGTTGGAAGTTGCGCTAAATTAAAAAAATTGCTTACTGAGAAAAGTGATTTAAGGAGGAATATTAGGACACTAGGGAAGGATTACAGCCAATATTGATTACCTCAAAGTGCTCACATAATCAAAATCATTTCTCAAATGTCTAATCATTATAGCGTGCCAGGTAGACATTTCCTTACACACCGATTTTCCCCCATCAAGATGGAAAAACTTGATTAATTCCACAGGTTTACACATAAATATTAAACAGTTGGCTCTGAAACACAAGCTTAGCTTTCAAAATGAACAAGTTCTTTGAGCGCATTATTCATATGTTGTTGCATAGAACTGGAATTTCTACCTTTGTTTGTACCTGTTGCGGTTTATTAAGCCAGACACACAAGCAATCCTTTAATGCTAGTTTTTATGTGAAATATAATACGTTTAGTTAACTGCTTAATTTGCAACGAAAACAGTAAGTTTTAGGTCATACAAACGTTTATTGTGGACGTTCTGGAGAACTGGCTAGTGGCTAGTATTTTATTGTAAAGGGTCTGAACAATTAATTGATTTATTTTTCAGTGCGAGTGTTAATGATGGTGTTTTGTCAGTCTTTTTTATTTTTCAATGTTTTAATTTACTTACGCCTTCAAAGTGCGGTTTCTCAAATTCAATATTTGATATTTAATTCTGATATTTTCTTTCAAAACTTTTTGATGGTTTTCTCCAACTTGGTTATTTGAGCATCAAGGATTGACGATTAAATTTGCGACCGTCTTGCCCAATTTAATGCACTTTTGTTTAAGTGCTGCTTCACGTCCTGCTTTAAATGATTATGACAAGACACCAAATATTTCAGCTGCTTAAAACAAAGTGTTAATGAAAAAAAAACAATTGAAATAATTAACTGGCTTAATGATGTGTAGGCGATTGGACGATTTCTCCATTCGGCCATTACATTTTGAATTTAGAGTGGAAATTAATCATACACAATGTCACTGTTGGGTATTTTTGAGGAATCTATAAGGAAAAGCCAATAACAATGACGTTAATGATCAGCTATTTATCTAGAACTCGCTTATTGAAATGTGTCTTTATCTGTTTGCTTAACTGGAAGCCCTAATGGAATTATAATTCACTTCAAGAGAACATTATAGATTTTTGTTCTGATATGTACCTAACAAATGGGTATATTTTAAATTGTAATAGAATTGGAATGAATTTCCTGATTTTTTACAAACACAGCTTGAAGAAATAAAGAAATTTTATCGGCACTGGACAATATTTAAATAAGACACTTTCAAGGGAATTGCCAGTTTTCAACCGCTGGAAAAAAACACCGCTAACAACAAAGTTATGAAATCCCCAAGCACCGCTTTTGGTATAAAATGGGCAACACTTCCGTTACAAAATTATATTCGGTCTGCTATTAAATAAATTATGATAAAGCGAGCTGATAAATAGAGTTTAAGGTATCAAAAGGAAGGCAAATAACAAGGGAAAAAACGAATGAGACAGACGTGTGGATTTAATTCGTTTCACGCCCTCGTTTGAATAATTGAATAAATCCAGAATTACATGAATACATTCAATATTCCAAATTTCCCATGCGTTGTTTAGAAATTAGCTATTAAATATCGTCGAAATACAATTAAATTGAGATTTCGTGCCTGGAATAAAACGTACTAATGGATAACAAAAAAATAAAATAAACATTTATTTCGATGGCCACAGCAGCAAATTGTGACTGCTTGCCAAGTCACAAAAATAATTTGGAATAAAAATATAAAGATTAAGAAAAAATGCACTTGACATTGAATTCGAAAATTAACAAAAAATCTATTACACATATTCTTCCTTTTCAACATGCTCTCATATAGGGGCGGAATTTTCTCCTGAAAAACTTACAAATAAAACCTGTAGCTAATGCTGAACGGTCTTCTGGCTGTTCAGCTAGACTGAACGTATTTTGCTTCATTTAACATAATTTGACTTGAACTAGAGCGTTAGATAAATATAAATTTCATTTCAATGTATATTTTGAAAATGAGACTCAACAGGCGTAGGCGAGGCAGTTAAACTTCATTCACAAATATTCTAATTTTATGACAAAATCGATGACTGGCTTAACGCGACGTGTTTCATGGGATGGGATAAAAGCAATTCGAATTAATTGGTGCATTAAGCAATTTATTTATCTGATTTAACATTTTAACTGCTCTTGTTTGTTGCTACGTTCCGTCTAATTTGCCTTTGAGCCAACTGCATAATTTGTTTTTAATAGTTTGCTGATAGCTCAACCCTGCAAATTTAGTCAAACAATACGTGGTTTCCTGAAGGAAAATATGCCAAAATGTATTCTCGCAATATGTAAAACAGGTTCTAAAGTTCATGGGGCGGATTGTTAAAAGCCATACAGGCTAATTAATACGGGGTTAAGCAATTTAGTTGCACAGGCCAGATATAATGTATATGTAGTAGCCGGGCGTTGCTTGTAAACTAAGGCAGGATTGCATTTGTCTTTGTAGCCGAAGCAATTAATATTTGGAGGCTTATCACGATTAGAATTAATACCACCGCTAAACTGTTTAACATACTAAATATATTAACAAGAATTGGTGGCCCACAATTACGAATATTTGCATTATCTAGATGGAAATTTGCAGGATGCACTACGTTAATTGTTAGCAATTTATCAAAAAACTCTGAAAGTTGATAATTTACATTAGAAAATGTAGTAAATGCAAATAACAAATTTGTATTAGTCGTCTCCAAATGGAACACACTCCAGACTGTTACTTGGACCTAATTTCCAGCTAGAGTCTGTTGGAAAACTTTTTTAACTTATGGCCGCTAACCACGCGATCTGTTGTATGAACGTTGCCGGATAGTGTTAGTTTGAAACAATTTGATCTGGCACATAAAATTCCAAAAATAGAGCCTCATAGAAATTTGCACCGGATTTAGAAACGAAATCGCTATCTTGATTTGGAAACAACACATTAGCGGGATGAGAAACTCATTAATTTTCACATGAAGGTGTGTCTTTGCTATAGAAATGAGTAGTAACCATGCGTAGATGGCAAAAACCCAAATTTTTCAAGTTGTGTGTCAATCAACAAATACATCAGCGATATTAATTCAATTTATTTGATAAATTGTCAGATTGAACAGTTCGATCATAAATAAGTTCGGGCTGTAACACATAATATTCCCGGCAGCAATTTCCAATTTTTACGGCA